TCAGGAAATTATTTTTGGACATGTTAAAGTTTGAGGTGCCTATTAGACTTTCAAATTGTAGTCTGGTGGGTATGCTAGTCTGATTTCAAGGGATGTTCCAGGATAGATATAAGTTTGGAATTCATCAGCATGAAGGTAACATTTATAGTCATGAGAATAGATGGAAATGCCAAGAGAGCAAGTGTTGGTAGAGAAGAAGAGAGATCCAAGAACTAAACCTTAGGATATTCTAGCAGTTAGAGATCAGAAAAATGGACACTGAGGATTAGCCAGTGAGGTGGGAAGAAAACCAGGAGAGTGTTATATCCTGGAAGCTACGTGAAGAAAGTATTGCATGATAGAAGAAATGATCAATTGTGTCAAATGGAGTAAGGTGAAAACTGATCATTGACTATTTGATTTAGCAATGAGGAGATCATTGGTGACTTTAACAAGGAATAGTTCAGTGTGGTGATGGAGACAAAAGTTTGATAAGAATGAGTTCCAAAGAAAAAATGAGAAAAAGGATTACAGTTGAGAATAGATACTCTTTGGAGGGGCTTTGCTATAAAAAGGAACGTAGAAGTGGCATGGTAGCTGGAGAACATGAAGTCAAGAGGTTTTTTGCTTGTAAGATGGGGAAAACTGTGGCATGTTTGTATGCTGGTAGGAATTATTCAGCAGAGAAGGAAAAATTATTCACATAAGGGAGAGGGGGAGAATTGGTGGAGTTACATCTTTGAGTAAGCAAGAGGGGATAAGATTTTATGCACAAGAGGAGAAGTTGGCCTTAGGAGCACAGACAGTCCATCTATAATAGCAGAAGGGAAGGCAGAGTATATGGGTACAGATGCAGGGTGGTGGATAGATGTAGGAAGAGCAGACTATAGTTCTCTTCTGATTGCTTCTGTCTTAGGAAGCAGAGTTATCAGCTGTGGTTGAGGATGGGGAAGAGATATTGGAAGTCTGGGGAAAGAATAGCATATGAAATAATTATCTAGTAGAGAAAAGGAGTAAATGGAGTATGTAACTGATTAAAGGACAGCTCTAAAGGCACACTTGAATTTAAAGTGAACTCAGTCAGCTGGAATGTGTATTTTTCTGAGCTCCAGAGTTAGCTAGCTGGGTTGCATGTGTGGAGTAGGAAGAGAGGTGGATTTAACCAGGGTTGGAATTTTGTCAGATGAATAAAAAAATGTGAGAGAGGGGCAGAGGGTGATTATAATAACGGATTATGGAATTTATGCTTAGTTAGAAAGAACCTGAGGACTTGGAAGTGGGAGGAGGGCTGTGAAAGGTATTAGGATTAATTAACTGTAGGGCCCTGTGGGATCAAAGATTATTAGAGTTGGAGTATTAGAAGGAGTAAACTTAAAAGACAGGAGGTGATCAAAGAGGGAGATGTTCAAAATTGAGATTATGGAGGGTGTCTTAGTCATCTAGTGCTGCTGTAACAGAAATACCACAAGTGGATGGCTTTAACAAGAGAAATTTATTCTCTCACAGTCTAGTAGGTGACAAGTCCAAATTCAGGGCATCAGCTCCAGGGGAAGTGTTTCTCTGTTGGTTGGCTCTGGAGGAAGCTCCTTGTCATCAGTCTTCCCTTGGTCTGGGAGCATCTAAGCACAGGAACCTCAGGTCCAAAGGACTCGCTCTGCTCCTGGCACTGCTTTCCTGGTGGTATGAGGCACCCATGTCTCTCTGCTCACTTCTCTCTTTTATATCTCTAAAGAGATTGGCTTAAGACACTAATCTTGTAGACCTCATCAATGTAACTGCCACTAATCCATCTTATTACATTATAGTGATAGAATTTACAACACATAGGGAAATCACATCAGATGACAAAATGGTACACAGTTAGACAATACTGGGAATCATGACCCAGCCAAGTTGAGAGATACTTTGGGGGGATACAATTCAATCCATGACACTGGGGTTACAGTTGTTGGTGCTTACAAGGACTCAGGTATGACCATGGGAACGAGTAACTGAAATAGAGTAGAGAACCAGATCTTTGGAAGAGAGAAGGGCAAGGAACTGAGAGGCCAGCATATTGAAAAGGTTATCTGTATAAGTATTGAAATCACCAAGAATTATGACAGGACTCTATTCACCTGGAGCAACAGACGAAGGAGAGTCAGGAATAGGAGGAGGATATGGGATATGTGGTTAATAGACTCCATGAACAACTGCCTCCTTTGCCATGAGACCAGAAAAACTGGATGGTACCCAGCTGCCATTACTGAACATTTTGATTAAAGATTCTCTAAAAGAATCCTGATCAAAAGGGAGAAAATGAAAAACAGAATTTCAAATTCTTGTGGACTCCAGACTTCTGGAGCCATGAAGTTTGGATGCACCCCTGAAACTATTGCCCTGAGATAATCTTTAAACCTTAAACCAAAAATATTCCCTGAAGTCTTCTTAAAACCAAATAGTAGTTTAGCTTACTAGTAAAATATATCTGCTTTGAGCATTATACTCTTAAGAACTGTATGGGATCAAACTGACAACACCAACTCAAAAGATTGGATAGGAACTTTAGTGGGGAGGAACAACTCAGAAAAGGAGGATGAGAATGGTTGCACAACTCGAAGAATTTAATCAGTGTCACTAAATGGTACATGTAGAAACTGTTGAATTGGTGTATGTTTTGCTGTGTATATTCTCAACAACCACCAACAACAAAATCAATGAAATTAAAAAAAGTGGAAATCTCCTTCCTGCAATATCTTTATCTACTGCTTTATTTTCAACTTCCTGTCTCCTTTTGTGAACAAAACAAAATAAAAGCATGTCTGTTTTGACCCAGAAAAAAAAAAAGAATTATGACACAAGTAGTGGTGGAGGAGCAGTGAGTTAGGATCTGAAATCTTGAAGGAATGAGGGAAAATAGCCCCGTGGTTTGTGAATGATTACCAAGAAGCATTAATCGACTCAACGGCAATTAGTTTGTTTTTTTGCTTTGTTTTGGGTTTTTTTTTGGGGGGGGGCGGGTTTGGTAATCCGATGGCCTCAAATTCAAAGCTAGCAAAAAGAATCACTGCTATGCAATCAGGCCCAGTGGTACAAGGGGTGGGAGAGATAATAGCTACCACCCAAGAGGGCCGCAGGTGAGGCATTGTCCTCAGGGGAATGCAGTGTGTCAGTTAGAATGAGAAGTTCTCAGAAAAGAAGTTGAAGATGAGGGGGATTTTGCTGATGACTCATCTTTGAGTTCCAGAAGGCATGATGGAAGATTTCAGGAGTCAGGGAGGAGTGAGAGATGAGACATTAAAATAGAAAAGCATGCTGGGAGACTGCTGGAATAGTTTAAATGTGAGACTGTATGGACTAGGATGAGAAATGGTTGCAGAAATGGAGAAACCAAAATCAAACCAAACCTGTCGCTGTTGAGTCAATCCCTGTAGGACAGAGTAGAACTACCCCGTAGGGTTTTCAAGGAGTGGCTGGTGGATTCAAACTGCCAACCTCTTGGTGCAGAGCTCTTAACCACTGCACCACCAGGGATGGAGAGGCATGCACAAATCCAAAGAAGAATCAGTAGTCTATAATGAAGCCAGTATGTAATTGTAAATGCAGAAGTGTAAATAGTAATCTGAATTTAGATCTGGAGATTCACAGAGAAATAATAATTTAAGCCCTGAAAGTGAATGAATTGTCTATATTAATTAGGATTGCTTTTCATTGCAAGTTACAGAATAGCCAGGGATCAGCTAACTTTTTATGAAAAGGGCCAGATAGTAAATATTTTAAGCTTTGTGGATCTTTGTCACAACTTACTTAACTTTGCCCTTCTAAGAAAGCAGCCATAGATAAATGTAAATGAATGGGCCTGGCTATGTTCCAATAAAATGTTATTTATAAAAACAGGTGGTAGGCCAGATTTGATCCATGGGCTGCAGTTTGATGATTCCTGATTTAAGAAATAAATATATTTGATTATATCATGTAACAGGAAGTCTGGAGGTAGTTAGTTCCAGGTTTGGTGCAGTGGCTTAGTGATGCCATCAAAGACCCTGGCTCTTTGTGCACAGTCATCCTTAGCAGTTCTGTTTGTCACTTCAGGATTGCAGACTGGCTCTGTAGTTCTAAGCATTGTGTCTTTGTTCAAGGCAGGAAAAAGGGAGAAGGCACAGCATCAACATTTGTTCCTTTTGTCAGGAAAGCAACAGTTTTCCCAGAAGCCCCCAGCAGACTTCCCCTTAAGTCTCACTGGGCAAACCTAGGTCATGGGACCATCCCTAACTGCCAGAGAAGCAAAGTGGCACCTGGCTTTCCAGCCTGTCTAGTAAGAGAGGGCGTGGAAAAAGGGAACTGGGAATAGTTGTTGGCTTAGCAAACCAAAGGTGTCTGAAACACAAGAAAATGTTGTGGGGGAAAGGACAGAGGTTAAACACTGAGGTACAGAGAATAGTCACAAGTTTATGATAAAAAGAAAGAGAACCCAGTAAAAGGGATAGAAAAACAAGTGAACAGAGAGTGAGATGAATCAGGATAGTGGGCAGTAAGAGAACGTTTTCAGCAAGGAGTCAGAAAGGGGCTGAAGATAGTAGAGACGTTCAGATTTGGCAAGAAAGCCATTGGCATCTTTAAGAAAGCAGTTTGATTAGAAAGATGGGAATGGTGGTACTTTGCCTAATTGGAATTGACTCTGCCTTATAATTTGAGAGGTACTCAGTAAAAGCTGTTGAGCAAAGAAGAAAAAATGGACTTGGAGGCCAACTGGCATTTTAATGAAGTGTACACCTTTGTCAAGAAGATAAAAAACCACTTTCTACTGTTACACCACCCTTCCAGGGCAAACCACAGAATATTGGAGTTGGAACAGATCTTAGATATTAACACCAGTGCTTTCCATTTTATAGATAAGGAATGTAAACCCAAAGAGACTGTGACTTATAAGTTATAATAACTAGCTAATGGCTGATACGGAATGTCCAGTGCTTTAAACTGGAAAGAGAGTGCTTACTAGTTGTTTCAATTGCTGTAATAATTTTAATCTATTGATTTGTTAGGTTCATGACTACAGAGAAGGAACCCCAGAAGAGAAGACTTACTATATAGAATTATGGGATGTTGGAGGCTCTGTGGGCAGTGCCAGCAGTGTGAAAAGCACAAGAGCAGTATTCTACAATTCTGTAAATGGTAAAGCGTTTTGTATTTCTACCATATATTAATGGTCTAGGAATAGAGATCATCTAACATAAAATGCTGGGGAATGTCGTACTCATCTTAATTTGAGAAAAATCTAATGTATTCACAACTGTTGATTTAAACCTTTACATCACATTCCAGTTGTGTTTCTAGATTTTAACCAGGCAATTCAGAGCATTAAATATCTGGTTCATCTAAGTGTTTCTAGTTGTATTATTGTCATAAACTAAATATTGCAAAAATTATATTTGGGGTAAGACATAAAACATGGAACTTTCAAAACACTGTCCCCTGGGAGTGCCGTTCTCCAGTCAGTTGAGTAAATACGGGAGAACCATTAGCAGTTCCGTTCTAAGCCAGATGTCACAGGAGATACAGGGATCTCTTCCATCTGCTCCTGAGAAGGAGGCTTATGCAGTTATAAAGAGCTGCCTGGGAGTGTTTTTAGGGGTGCAGAAATTTCTTCCAGTTACAGATATGCAAATACCTGGAGCAGACTTCCAGATGGAGGTGTGTAATAGAAGACATAATTGTAATTCATAGAATGCCTACTGTGTTATGTGTCGGGACTGAACCATTGATGCCTGTAGGATATGTTTCATTATCTTTTTATTTTTCCTTTTTTAAAACATCTTTTACTGTGAAATATAATTTTAATTTGCCTTTGATTGAAATATCAAAGATTTGGCACCTTACCCCTCCTCTCCTGGTAAATGTGTAGCTATTAATAGGATCTCATTTACATTGTGTTTAGATCTTCTTCAATGTTAGGTAAGCATTGCATTTATTGAGTACCTTCTTTATTCCTTATATTCCTCTTTCACTATCTTCCCACATCATAGGGTGTTGTGGGTACCACAAAAAGCAGTCAAGAAGGTTCTTGCCATGGGATACGTACTTCAGAGTACGAGATGAGTTGTATGAGTTTAGTCCCATGTCCCATCTAGTCAGAAATCCATCAGAAAGTGTCACAGTTAAGAAACGAAATGTTCTTAAATGAAACAAAACATACTTACAGGATAGTGACATTAATATGTCATCATCATGAAGAAAAGTATATAGTAATGGCATATATTAATGCAGTATATATAAATGAGAAAAACATTAAGATAATTTAAAATTGGTAGAGTGTTAGAAATGACTTCTTAGAGAAAAGGAATGAAGAAAATGAACCCTAGTTTAAGAATGAAGCGATAAACATGGATTATATCAGTCAAATGACTTGTCAAAGTTAATATCAATCTGACCTAGCCAAGGGAAGCTTGGACATATAATACCTCTTGCCATTTAGATCTTCTTGGGAAAGAGGTAGGGTAAAAAAAATTATAAATAATAAGATCAAACAATTCAAGTCCTAGAAACTTCATAGAATTCTGAATTGCAAACTTGTAAGTGCTGAAAAAGAAATCTGTCTAAATTCCTATTTATTTGATTATCTTTTCTATACCTAGTATTCATTAGAGATTTGTGTCCTTGAATGTTATCATGAACTTATGTCCTATGTAGGTATTACAGATAAGGCTGAAATATATTCTGTTTCTTAAAGTTAAAAAAAAAATTCCCTATTAAGTTGTTTATTGAAAAACCTACTTCTGTCTTCTTTTACCTTAGCTCTGGAACATTTCTCTTGGCAGAAGCTTGTTATTCCTTATCTTAATGAATTCTCCATTATGTGTCCTTGATACCTAATAGAGCCCCTCATTAAGGAAGGTCGAATGAGTGCAATTGGATATGGAAGCAAGAGGCAGATCTCTGTTCCAGACACCAGGAGAAATACAGGTTTATCTGAGCTGTTGGAACAAGTCACCTGTAGCTTACACAAGCACCTTAGCTGCACAGATGGCTGTAAAAACTAAAGGAGTCGAATTATTCTACTTCTTCTGCTTTTCTTTTTCAAACTGATGAATCCCACGTCTTGAGGATGGAGGAATCATCAGTTTCACGTCCTCTTTTCACAGTAGACTACGGGTGATATAGGAAAAGGTTAGCGTCTTTGTCCACAAGATGATATCCTAAATTCCACTAGGCATTAAAGATTTTTCTCTTATCTATATCTTATTATAATAATTACCAGTTCTGCCTTTCTGTCTAGGATCTTAACTAATTCTATTTTATTGTATTTGTGTTTTAACACATTTTATTTTTCTCAGTCTCTCCACGGTTCATCTTTTTTCTACTATTCGTATTTCTTGACTATCTCTTCCTACCCCTTCCAGTGGCATATTTCTTTTACTCTATTAACTAAGTTTCTCATAGATAGCAAACTTACAGAGCTAAACATAAATTCCAAGAACTAGAAAATTAGACTTTGAGTAGATTAGGCCCGAGAGATGTAGAAGACATTTTGTCAGCTAAAGAATAGCAATTGAAGCAAATTAAATCAATACCATTTTAATAAGTTTTTATTATCTAATATTCTTTTTAGTGAATATTAGTAATGTGTATATACTGATGTCTCTGACAGTACTATGGTACTATTTGCAGTGCAGAAACAACATAACTTTTGAATGACTATCATGCATGTACTTGAAGTTGTTTTGATTCTCTTTATTAATGAGGTGGTTCTACAGCTAGGACCAGACACGGAATAGGCATTCAGGATTTGCCGAATGAAGAAAAAAGAAAGAACATTCTAAAAGTTTTAATGACATTTTGTAAGCCTTTATAGAATAATAATAAGTTATATAACCGACAAAGAAAGTTTTGTAGTTATTTGTAAGAATATGTAGAGGGAATTTTAAAATAATTATGTCTTTAAGTTTGTTAGTCATAATAGAACACTAGATTCCTTAAACAGCCTAGTGCTTATATTTCCAAACTCTGCTTTGCCAATTGTAAAATGAAGAGGAATTATTACAGTAATGATATTATATTCTCTGATTATTTTAGGTATTATTTTAGTACATGACTTAACAAATAAGAAATCATCCCAAAACTTGTATCGTTGGTCATTGGAAGCTCTCAACAGGGATTTGGTACCAACCGGAGTCTTGGTAACAAATGGGTAAGCCCAAATTACTTCACGCTTGGTTTGAAATATTACAGCATTTTGTAGGAATGTACTCTCCAAAAAGGAGCCCGGGTTAAAGCACTTGACTGCTAACTGGAAGGTCGGCAGTTCGAACCACCAACTGCTCTGTAGGAGAAAGATGTGGCAGTTTGCTTCCATAAAGATTACAGCCTTGGAAACCCTGTGGGGCAAGTTATTCTCTGTCCTCTAGGGTTGCTGTGAGTCGCAATCAATTCTATGGCAGTGGGCTTTAGTTTTGGTTTACCCTCCAGAATAATACTTTGTAAGATGTTTGATTTGCAAATATTTTCTCCCGGTCTGTAGATGTCTTTTTTTTTTTTTAAACAAAATTTTTCTTTTTTATTGACAATAATCAGTACGGTGGAAATTACAGAAGAACTTGTATTTTTATGCATTGCTGGTGGTCACTGTGAATTAGTATAATGCTCTTGGAATGCAGTCTGCTAAATAGTTCAAAAGCCATTAAAATGTGTATTGTTTTAATAGACTTTATTTTTTTTAGAGCCATTTTAGGTTTACAGAAAAATTGTGCAAAAAGTACAGAGTTTGCATATACTTCCTCTCCCCCCTGCACACTGTATCTCCTATTATTAGCATCTTGCATTCATGTGATATAGGTTGTCTTTTCTTTCTCTTAATGTCTTTCACAAAGCAGTGTCTTTCACAACGTTTTTCGTTTTGATAAAAGTCTAATTTCTCAATTTGTTTCTTTTTGGATTGTGCTTTTTGGTGTTATGTCTAAGAACTCTTTGCCTAACCCCAAATCAGGAAGGTTTTCTCCTTTGTTTCTTTTAGAAGTTTTAGGGTCTATGATCTGTTTTGAGTTAGTTTTTGTGTAAGATAAAAGGTTTAGGTTGAGGTTGACTTTTGCATGCGGATGTGTAGTTGTTCTAACACCATTTGTTGAAAAGGCCGTCTTTTCTTCATTGAATTACTTTTGCTCTTTTGCCAAAAAGCAATTGACCGTATTTATATGGGTCATTTCTGGGTTCTATTCTATTCCACTGATCTATGTGACTATCTTTTCCCAATACTACACCGTCTTGATTTCTGTAGTATTACAGTAAGTATTAAAATCAGGCAGTGTTATTTCATCCAGCTTTATTCTTTTCAAAATTGTTTAGCATTCTGTTTAGTTGCCTTTCCATATAAATTTGAGAATCAGCTTGTCTTGGTCGACAAAAAGTTCTGCTTGAATTTTGATTGGAATTATATTAAACCTATAGATCAAATCGGAGAGAATTGGCGATTTTACTTTGTTGAGTCTTTCAGTCCACAAACACAGTATATCTCTCCATTTATTTAGGTCTTCTTTGGTTTTTTTTTTTAATCAGCATTTTGTAGTTTTCAGCATACAGATTCTGTGCATGCTTTATTAGACATATACCTAAGTATTTAATATGTATTCTTTAAATTTCAGTTTCAAATTGTACATTGCTAGGATAGAGAGAAATACAGTTGATTTTGAGTGTTGCCATGTGACCTTTCATTTATTAGCTCTAGGAGTTTTTTGTTAGAATCCTTAGGATTTTCTACATAGAAAATTTTAATTTCCTCCTTTCTAATCTATATTCCTTTTATTTCTTTTTTCTTGCCTTATTGCCCTGGCTATGACTTCCAGTCTGATGCTAAATAGAAGTGATCCTGATCTTGTTCCAATCTTTTCACTCGTACATATGATGTTAGCTGTAGGTTTTTTGTAGATACTGTTTATCAGATTGAGAATGTTTCCTTTTATTCCTAATTTGCTGAGATTTTGTCATGAACAGATGTTGAATTTTGTCAAAAGCTTTTTCTGCATCAAATGATACGGTCAAGTGGATTTCTTCTTTAGACGGTTAATATGGTGGATTACACTGATTGATTTTCAAATATTGAACTAATCTTACATTCTTTGATTATGGTGTATTACTCATTTTATATATTGTAGGATTTGATTTGTTAATATTTTCTTAATGGTTTTTGTCCATGCTTATGAGGGATTTGGTTTTCTGTTCTTGTATTATCTTTGACTGGTTTTGGTATGAGGATAACACTGGCCTCATAGAATGAGTTGGAAATGTTTCTTCCTTTTCTGTTTTCTGGAAGAGATTGTGTGTAGTTGGTGCTATTTCTTCTTTAAATGTTTGGAAGAATTCACCAGTAAGACCATCAGGGCCTGACGAATTCTTTTTCAAAAGTTTTAACTACAAATTTAACTTCTTTAATAATTTAAGACTATTCAAGTTATCTATTTCATGTTAGGTGAGTTTCAGTAGTTTGTGGTTTTTAAGGAATTGATCTATTGCATTTAAGTTGTTGAATATATGTGCATAGAGTTGTTTACAGTATTATTATCCTTTTTCATATCTGCAGATTCTATGGTAATATCCCGTTTCATTGCTGATATGAATATGTATCTTCTCTATGTATCTTGGTCAGTCTTGCTAGAGGTTTATCAATTTTATTGATCTTTTCAAAGAACCTTCTTTTGGTTTCATCTCTTTTCTCTATTGTTTTTGTGTATACAATGTTATTGATTTCTGTTTTTTATTGTTTCCTTCCTTTTGCTTGCTTTTATGTTTATGTTGCTGTCTCTTTATAGTTTCTTAAGGTGGAACCTATTTTTTTTTTTTTTTT